AAAGAGTGGTCAGACACTGGAACAGACTGCCTAGGGAGGTGGTTGAGTCGCCATCCCTGGATGTGTTCAAGTGTCGCTTAGATGTGGTGTTGGGTGATATGGTTTAGGGGTGAACTTGTAGTGTAGGGTGAATGGTTGGACTCGATGATCCCAAGGGTCTTTTCCAACCTGAATTGTTCTATGGTTCTATGATTCTCCCAGCAAGGCAAATGTTGTGTTTATAGATGTATTTGCCCTAATGACTTCTAGAATTTGTTTTCTTTGAATACACAGAGCAAGGCTTGTAAAACCTGCTCACTGAAATCACAATTTCATAAGTATCGTTGTCTGGGAGTGTTTTGTAAAAGAGTGCTCCTGGATAACCTCACCAGTTTAGTTTGTGGGTAGTGCCTGTCCACAGCAGTCAGGACTTTGAATGGGCGAAGGTGAGTATTTACAACAGGTAAGGTGGGCAGTAAACTGTTGTGGAGGCTGCTGTTAAGAGTCACACATGACAACATCTCAAATTATTTTGGGAAGGGCATTCAGTGCGGTGTGTCAGAGATGACCAAGCAGCCAAACAGAATAAAAAGATCAGAGCGTTTCCTTATCTAGGGTCCTAAGGAAACATGAATTTTATTTTATTCTTTTGATTTTTATTTTTTTTTGATCAATTTTTATGTGGATTTGTTTTCCTGATCATGTATGTATTTGTAGTACCCTGCCTTTACTACTTCTGAGAAAAAATACTATGAGGTCGAAAAATACTGCAGCTAACAATTAGCACAAAGCTGTTTGCACACTGGTTTTTATAATGATGTAGAATAGTCCTGACAGTTGTAGGTCACAAAACTCTACTAATGGACCATAAATGTAAAGAATGGTAGAAAATACCAACCGTTAGTTTTGCTATATGCTGAGATAACTTGTTTTAGGTAATTTGTCTTCACTATTGTGAGATGATTTTCTCTTTATATGTTACAAGGTGCTACTTGGAGGTGTGTGCAAATAACTTGTAACTGTTACTTAAAGGAAAGATCCTGTGGTCACTGTTTTTGATGAGGAAAACAAGGGAATCAGTTCTATCAGTTGCCTGAGAATACCTTAGAATTTAACCCTTGCAGTTGTTTTCATAAATTGAGTAGTCACAACTTGCACTACTGAGTGTGAAATCAAAAGTGGAGGCAACGGGTTCAAAAATTGAATAGTATGAAGAGAGCACGTTACAAGAATCAGAAATAGCTTTTAGGGAAGAAGGCCCTTGGGCTGTGGACTGCGTAAATGCGCACGGTTTTTGTTTATGGACCATGAGGAGTTTGCATGCAGAGTACGTGTGCGGCTTTACCATTGCCGTAAAACTTCTATTTCTTCTCCGTATCTCTCCCCTTGCTCTTGTTAGGTGCAGCACAAAGTAGCAGATTTATTTTTTTAGTATTGCATTTGTTGTATTTTCATACTCTTATGAAGCATAATCAAAATTCATATGACTCCATTAGTAGAGTTTTTATTACAGAATCACAGAATGTCAGGGGTGAGAAGGGACCTCAAAAGATCATCCAGTCCAGCCCCCCTGCCAAAGCAGGATCACCTACAGTAGGTCACACAGGAACGTGTCCAGGTGGGTTTTGAATTTCTCCAGAGAAGGAGACTCCACACCCTCCCTGGGCAGCCTGTGCCAGGGCTCCGGCACCCTGACAGTGAAAAAGATTTTTCTAATATTTATTAAATAAAAAATAATCAGATTGACAAAACTGCTTGTTTCAGCCTTTTCCCCATCTCCTGCTTTGTTTAGAAGTCTGAGTTTTCATCATCTTACAGAAATATATTGATAAGTTCACACTTAAAAAAGTACCAGAGCTGTAGCTCCCTCTTCTGGAAATTGTACTCTGTGGTAAGATTTTGAAATGGAAGATAAGAGTCGTGAAATAATCATCTGTGTTGTTAGTGCCTGGAGATGCACAGATGCTCTTCACCAAAGCGTGTAGAGCTTTTTTTAAGCTAGTTTATGTCAATTAAAGATACCTTTTCCTGGTAATACAGGCTGTATATAATCACACTTTTTAAAGATAGTGTGATGATGAGGCTGAAGCAAGTACACTCAGGAAATTTGGGAGTTTATTCCTGACTGCCTCTGAACTCACGTTGCCTTACTGGACTTATTTCCTGGCAGAAGAATTAATGGGTGCTTGAGTCGCTTTCTGCATCATAAGCATTAAAAGTCCCTTTCTCATGGCTCCTGGGTGTAGTACGGGTGAGTCAAAGCATTCACATTTCAGTTTTCCTGCAATGTATTATGTCAGTAACGTGTACTTAAAGCTTGTTTCGGAGGACGAGACTCTGAATTTGAAACAGCCCTGGCAAAGCTCAGTTTGAGCACCAGGATGTGTTTAGAAATAACAACGCTCTTTTCATTGCCTGTCTGTCTCTGTAGCTGCCAGGTTTTGCATTTGTTCTGCTTGCCTGGAGGTAGGCTAACGTTTAAAAAAAACTGTGCCTGTGTGTCAGGCGTAGTGACCTACAAAACAGGGCTAAAAAAAGATAATGTAAACAACTGCAGGCTTTTGGGTTTTGTTTTTTTTCCCTCCTCTATTGTTTTTCTTTCTTACCTAAAAATAGTTTTCCAGTTCCCAAACAGGGCATTTGAAGTATTTTGAAAATTTTTCTTCATTATAGTTTTAAAATAGTGCCTATTAGGCAAGTGCATTTTTATTTTTACATATATATATGTGTTTTTACATATATATATGCGTATATATATATACGCACAGACACACACACATATATATATATATATGTATATATATAAGATTTTGAAAACTCTTCATAAATTGGAAGAGTGCAATTTTTACTTAATCTTCCAGCATTGTTTTTCACCGTCGCCTACGCATGCCCAGCTTTTCCTTGTTTTATTTTGGACCGTGGGATCATCCTGATAAACTCTCCGTTAAATGTTGGAATACTGCAGTGTAAAGGACACACGAGGAATCCAAGCACATAACTAAGCATTAGGATTGTCATGCTCCCTAATTCCTGCACAGGTTTATTTCCAGTGCAAAAACGAGTTGTTTCATGAGTAACAAAGCCAGCGAAACTTGGAATCTAACAAACTTCTGTCCTTTAGGGCTGCTCCGTGCCACCACAAAACCCTTGTGCGTCTTGGCTACCTTCACTGGCTGGTCAATTCAAGATGGGAAAGCATCTGTACCTTCCAACACCCCTAGAGCTATGCCTGTGCTCTGGTGTCTGCTGCTGGAAGGAATGGACAGCTTAGTTTTCCATTGCTCTGTAATGTCTTTAAGGACTTCTCTGCGTTCTACCCAACGTTATCTGCAGAAGTTATATCTTTGAATCTCGTGCCTTTTGATCAAAATGCTTTGAAGCTGTTCAAAGGGTCTGAGGCCAGTGGGAATAGGACTGGTGGAAACTCGGTGACGCAGCATAAAAGGCAAATGGACAGCAAGAATACATAAAAATTTCCTTAGAAAGCCAGGCTAAAAGTTACATCTTTATGAAATAGAGTTTAATATTTTCTTCTTCTGTTAGATGTGTAATGTCTGTTTTTCTGTCTTACCTTGGGAAAGCTGCTGAACGTTTTGCTGCTTTTCTGCATTAACTGGCATGGGGCTAGTCTCATGGTTCGGGATCGTTGCTGTAGTGATAGAAGTGACAATAAATTACTTCCTTGCTCATTTTGCCTACTATTCCTTCATCTTTAAAGAGAAATCATGGTCATTCGAACTTCCCCAAAATTGTTTGCAGAGTTTTATAAGTGAACTGTGGATGGGATTGATAGGAACCTCCTTTTGCTTTATTGGTAATGTGCAAAATATTTCTGTACAGGTAGAAGATGGCTGGTGGAGTGGAACGTTAAATGGCAAGACAGGGTTGTTTCCTTCAAACTTTGTGAAAGAATTGGAATTGACGGATGATGGAGAAACCCAGGACACTGTGGATGACACAGGTTGTATTCTGTTTGTTGTACACCCTTCCCAAAGTCATTTTAGATCTCGGGTGTATTTTAGAGTATTATGGTTGTAGTGCAAAAGAAGTTGTAAAGAATGCAAGCTTCTCAATAGTGGTAAGTGTTGAATTTTATTCTACAAAGTACTGATGCTGAGTATGAAGATACCTGTCTTACTCCCAGTACATTTCTAAAAATATTGTAGTCAAAGTCTCTTTTTTTTTTTCTTTTAGTAATGCGCTCCCTCCCTTATAAGATATTCGGTGTTGATTGTTTCTACCAAGGGTTTGCTTGTAGCTGGGAAAGAATCTGATTTGGATATTTTTATTTTTTTTTAATTTTTGTAAATTGTGGAAATGATTGCAGTAGTGCAAAACAACACTTGTTTGACTTAAGCAGCTCCAAGTAGCTCAGTGGCTGTCTCCTTGGAGGTCAAATTCCCTGAGTTTAGTGGGATCTGGTGAGATGAGTTTACTAATGGTTATGTGTTTGTCTTAATTCCTGAATACTTCCATCACTGGGAGTGAACAGTAATTTGAAGTAGTTTTGTTTTCTGCCGGGAACTAACAAGTTCTGGTTCTCAGCCCCCACAGGGGTTAATCTCAAGTCTCTACTAGTTCTGTTCTCACTCCTGGGAAACTGTAAATGCCCCATTCGCTGAGTTACGGTCTTTAAAATGTGCAGCCTGGACTTTTTTCATGAATGACATTTCTAGGTATCCTTTTAGAGATCTAAGAGGGATATAACATAGTGACGAGAGTAACTCAGTTGAGTAAAGGTGACAAAATGACATCAAGACGCAGTTTGATGATACTATCAGACACCCTTAGATTATGACTGAAGGAGGAGGCTGTAATCTTTACCACAATTCCCAGGCGTGCATACACTGGGACGAACTTTTCTGAAAGGTTAAAAGATGTGGAGGCTATTTTGCATTCGGTATATAAAAGCTGTCTATTCTCACATGACTGGCTCCTGGAATTCTGCATGTGGAAAAAGTGTTGCCATAAATACTAATTTGTTGATTTTAAGATTCGACTGTAACTTAAAAAAAAAAAGTAAATCTGAAAACTCCTAACACCTGCATTAAGCTTGCTAAACTACATTTTTTGGGGGTCGACAAATGCTGTCCCTTGAAACGGAAAGATTAAAAGAATCTTAAATAGTTGTTATCTACCATTGATTAATCTCAAACATCTAGACTTGATTTGAGTGTTTACCTCATTTAAAGTAGGTTTTAAATGCTGTCAGGTTAGAAAGCTATTTAAATTAATTTGCGAGAAACTCTTTTCAGTTATTTTTGCACTTTGAGCAATAGGAAAATTTCACTTTGATGTCTTGAGAGGCATCACTCTACTACTGAAATTTGCTCTTTTTTCCTGTGGCTGCTGAAACGTGGTAGGACTCATTATGGACCTTTATTGATTATCACTTTCAGCAGCTGTAGCCGTGCAAATGACAAGCTTTTAAATCCTGGACTAAAAGCACGTCTTCAGAGAACGCGTCAGCAATATTTCATAAAACTAATGGAAAACATTGATGTTAACAGACCGTGGAGCCTGAGTGATAATTGAAATAGCGTGAAATATTAGCAATCTGATGACTTAGATCCAGACTGTTCCTGCCAGAGTATTCAGTGCAGTACTAGTGTCATTTCTGATGGTCTTATGTTAAATATACAAGAAAAAGTGGGAGGTATTACAGCTACAATAATTGTCCTAGAAGTTCTGTTCAGCAAGAGCAGTGCTCACAGTTGTTACTTCCACTTTTTTCTTGGAAGAGCAAGTAAATAATTTCAGATGTTAACACCTGTTTCTTTTTTTTTCTTTTTTTCTTTCAGAGTCTGTTTTCAGTGGTTCTACCTCACCTGTGGCCTCTCCAGGAAATGGGAATGAACCTGGATCTGGACCAGCACAGCCAAAGAAAATCCGAGGTATTGGGTTTGGTGACATCTTTAAAGAAGGCTCAGTGAAACTTAAGACAAGATTATCCAGTAATGAATCAGAAGATAAAAAGCAGGATAAGGTTTGTAGTGGTTCATATAGTTGTTTTTGTTTTTCCTTGTAAAAATAATTTAGATGATGTGGATTCTGAAGGTGTACAGAAGCTGAATACACTGGCCTTTAAAAATTGGTCAGTAATGTTCCATAATCAGACCATAATCATCTCCCTCAAACTTCTTTCATAGTAAGTTATATTTAGTGGTGATACCAAAAGATCTATTCAAATGTCTTGGTATTTAAAACTAGATAGAGAAAACCAAGCTGATCCAAAAATTGCCGTTTCGAAGCCACATGGTTCAAGACCTAACTTCTTGAACACATCTATAGTACGAGGTCTCTCTTAGTGCTCTTTGTAACAGTCTTTGTGTCTAGTCTGGGACAAGACTGTTAATTCTTCCAGTACAAGTTAAACTTGGCCTTTAAAACAAGGAATATTTCTGGATTTCTTTTGTTATTGGTTTGGCTTTTTTTCCCAGTTGTCTGTGGATGTTGAGATTGTTGTTGTAGGTGCCAGCCATCATTACCACTGTAAATGTTGCTCAGTGAATGCTGCCAAGCTTTTGGCTTTGGTGGTGTCTTAGGTCAATGAGCTACAGAAACTGCTTGTTGTTTAGGCCTGGAAAATACTGTTCTACAATTCTGCATCCTCTTTCTTTTTATTTTCCCCCCTCTTCTCTCATGAGTGAATGGAAAAAGGAGCACCTCTGTTTTCTGTATTGAGCTTAAAGCTTAGGAGGGAGCAGATCTTGGAATGGTAGTGGAATGGCTTTAGTTTTTTATTTTGATATGAACCCCGGAGCACTCTTACCCCTTGGAAGCACAGCAGTGACGCTCAGTCCTTTGTCTGGAACTTAGGCATTCTTTACACTAAAAGCTTATATAGGGATATTCAGCTTTTGATAAATTAAAGGCAGTTGTGATAATCTAGTTCATCGGTTTTTACTCAGGTGGTCAGTTCAAAAAAGCTTTTAAAAACCTTTGTCCCATTTCAGTTTTTTGTCTGTGGGTTTTGCTGATTGATTTACTTCCCTCTGCTGCCATGGAAGTAGTTGTAATGGTGTAGGTCAGGAGGGTGGTGTGAGACCTTTGGAAGAAGGTAGGGACAGAGACTTTCTTGGCTAAGATCAATACTCGTCCACCTATAGACATGGGTTGCCATCCTCTTTGTTTCTGGTACAGTCACAACATCAGATGATTCAGGAAACAAAAGTTACAAGTGTGTTGCCCTCTGTTTAAGGCTTGGGGAGTGTTTGCCTCCTGAGGAAGATGTTGTTTGGTTTGGAGGAGGCTGTGGGGAGAACTTTATGTGTTCTTTCAGTATATGGATGGAGAGAGGCTTTTTACTGAGGTAGGTGGTGACAGGAGAAGGGGCAATGGATTTAAGCTGAAAGAGGGTAGTTTTTGATTGGACATAAAGATGAGAGGGGGGTAAGACACTGGAATAAGTTACCCAGAGAAGTTGTGGCTGCTCCATCATTGGAATTATTCTTCGTCGGGTTGGATGGGGCTTTGAGCAACCTGATCTTAGTGAAATATGTCCTTGCCCCTGGTAGAGGGGTTGGACTAAATGATCACTGAAAGCCACTTCCAACCAGTCTGTGATTCTGTGAAAGCACATGAATTTTCCTTGCTTCTCTCCAGGCTCTGTCACTTGAAGTAAGAGTCTGAGGGACTCACTGCTTTGTGTGAACGCTGTTAGAGTAGAGTTTCAGGATCTAGCTTTCAGTTCGCTTTCTTGTCAGGAGATTATTCAAAAGCACATTTCCCTACTTTTTGCCTCATAACTTGGGAGCATAAAGAACTTATCTAAAATATGTTCAATTAATATGAAGTCTGCTCAGACCTTTTGAGGTATTTGACTGTTTATCAACATCAGAATATGTTAGCGCTCTGTTTTGTTGATTGACTCGACTGGAAAGTTGCAGGCTGCTTCTCAGGAAGAGGGGAAATGAAGTGAGAAAACAGTTTTGTATAGCTTACAGAAAATAAAATAAACAGTTGAGTTTAGTACTTAATGTTCCACTTAGGCTTGTTGCCAAAGTCATCCCAAAGGTGGGCAGACTTGTGGAACAACATGGAGAGCCCAAGGGAGGTAATTCTCGTGAAGGTCCTGGGAAAATGGGTGGCTTCTTTGGATTTGTGCTCAACTTGCTTCGGAGTTAGATGAGGGCATTCTCAGTCTTTAAGCCAGTAAGGAAGAAAGCTGTCATCAGCAGTCACAGAATGGTAGACGTTGGAAGGGACCTCTGAAGATCATCCAGTCCAACCCCCTGCCAGAGCAGGATCACCTACAGTAGGTCACACAGGAACATGCCCAGGCAGGTTTTGAAAGTCTCCAGAGGAGGAGACTCCACACCCTCTCGGGGCAGCCTGTGCCAGGGCTCTGTTACCCTCACAGGAAAGTATTTGCTTATGTTTAGGTTGAACCTTCTGTTTTCTGCCTTGTGACCATTGCCCCTTGTCCTGTCACTGAACAACACCGAGAAGCGTGTGGCCCTATCTTCCTGACACCCACCTTTTAGATATTTACAGGCATTGATGAGATCCCCCCTCAGCCTCCTCTTCTCCAGGCTAAGCAGCTTCAGCTCTCTCAGCCTTTCCTCACACGGTAGATGCTCCGGTCCCCTCATCATCTTAGCGGCCCTGCGCTGGACTCTCTCGAGTAGTTCCTTGTCCTTCTTGAACTGGGGAGCCCAGAACTAGACACAGTACTCCAGATGAGACCTCACCAGCTCAGAGTAGAGGAAGATGACCTCTCTTGACCTGCTGGCCATGCTCTTGTTAATGCATCCCAGGATGTCATTGGCCTTGGTCACAAGGACACATTGTTAACTCCTGGTCAGCCTGTTGTCCACGAGCACATCCAGGTCCTTCTCCTCAGGCCTGCTCACCAACAGGTTACCCCCAACCTGTACTGATCCATGGGGTTGTTCCTCCACAGATGCAGCACTTTACACTTGCCCTTGTTGAATTTCATTAGGTTTCTCCCTGCCCAACCCTCCAGCCTGCCCAGGTCACGCTGGATGGCAGCACAGACTTCTGGTGTGTCCACCACTCCTCCCAGCTTTGTATCATCAGCAAACTTGCAGAGGATACTCTCTGTGCCTTCGTGTAGGTCATTGATGAGTATATTGAGTAGGGTTGGAGCCAGTACCAACCCCTGGGGGACACCACTAGCCACAGGCCTCCAGCTTGACTCTGCCCCACTGAGCACAATGCTCTGTCCTTCAGCCAGTTCCCAACTGAGCTTGCTGCCCAATCATCCAACCCACACTTTTTAAGCTTGGCTGTGAGGATGCTCTGGGAGACTGGGCCAAAAGCCTTGCTGAGGTCGAGGTAGACCACGTCCACTGCTCTCCCCCCATCTGTCTAGTTAGAAAGGCTGTCACGTTAGTCCAACATGAAAGGAAGCTCTAGGGTAGAGAGGGCTTTTTTTCCCTTGGGGAATTTCGAGGCCGTTCAGCAGAGCAGGGCTGAGCGCTATTGGACCCAAAGTGCTCAAGAGTATCTGTGCTCCTGCAGAAGGTGGTTTCAGCTGGTCCCAGCATCCTGCCTGGGCTCAGGCTATTTATACCCCGTCTGCCTAAACTTCCTCTCATGCTTCTAATTACATCTCCTTTTGGAAGGGGGAAATGTTGAGAACTCTTTCCATGGCAGCCTTGTTTAATCTCTTAAGTGGGTTATTTTAGTGCTTCCTTTGTATAGCATTCTGGAGCAAGTTAAATTGCATATGTATTCCAAGGATATCCCAAGTGCCTGTGGATTCTTTTATGGTATGTTAGAGGTACCAAACACCAACCCACAGGCATCATCTGGTTTTAAGGAGAGGAAATCCAGTTTCTTTGACAGTAGAAAGTCTGTGAAGTTTAACTGTAGGTGAAAATGAACAGAATATCGAAAGGCAATGGGATTTTTCACATCAGTAACACTGTTAGAGTTGCTCAGGTAAGTGTTGACTGTTAAGATCATATTCTATGTTTGTAGCTCATAGGACTGTGAACAAGTAGGTACAGCTGTCTGAAATCTTCCTGGCAGCTCGGGGAAGTCTTCAGGGAAAAACAAAACAAAAAAAATATTGGAACAACTACTTTGGTCAGATGTTAACTCTGAAACTTACTACCAGTTGCAATGCCTCTGTGTCTTTTGTTTGTTTCGGGAGAAATCTGTAGGGATGCCTACTTGTTCTGTTCTGTATGAATTGCTAAGAGTGAAGGGAAGCTGGGATGGGTTTTCATGTGCTCTTAAATTTGTTCGACTAGTTAAAAACTGATTGTCTCTTCAGCTGAGGTGATGTACAGCTGCTGAATATTCCTGCTTTATTCCAGTGCAAAATAAGCATGGTCAGCGAGTTACTCTCAACAGAGCTGTTAAGTAGCTGCTTCTGTTCTGCGCTGGAGGAGGCAATTTGCAGCACAATGGAAGACTAACACTTGGAACTGCTGAAATGTGATTGCAAAAGTATATCTGGCAATGCCTCGTGATTGGCTTCCAGCTTGAAATCCGTGCTGTGTCTTTAATCAGTAGACAAAATTCTAACTGCAGTAGCTGTAATGAAGTAAATACAGTAATTTAAGTACTTAATGGGAAAGATCGTTGAATCTCTTCGAGGCGGGTCATTTGCATCGTTTCAGCTGATGAAAACATGAGTGTGTTTTGTGGCTTAATAAAAAATAAAACTCATGAAGAGTTTTTCTTAACAAAGTTCTCTTTCATTCTTACAGCCATTACCTAACCATCCCCCTGGAACAAAGCTAATTAATTTTCCCAGTACAATAAAAACTGAAAGCTCGTCAGAAGTAATAAAATCAGAAGCTGAAAGTAAACCAAAAGGTAAGGTTGATGGATGTTTACATCTATTGAACTTCTGTGTACACTGGCTTTTTGTGTAATGTTCTGTACCTTTGAGGCGTTACGCAAATGCAAAAGAGTCTAGAGGAGTTTTTGCTTGCGTTTCTGTGGAAAATGAATCAAAAACATCTGTAGGGTTCTCTCCCAGAACAAAATAAGGCTGGGGGTGAAGTTCTATTGCAGCGGTCCGTTGGCAATGGTTTACTATTTTGACATCCTCGAACTGACTGATTTTCTGCCTGGCTTTTAACAGTCAGATGGAATCCTGGAAAACTATTGCTGTGGAACAGTCCCCTAACTCAACTTCTGTCACTAGATTATACAAGTTTCTGTCCCTAGATTATACAAGTTACTTTTTCAGGCTCAGGATTTACTGTGGAGTTCCTAACATGCTGTTGTAACTCTGATGCGAGAAACTTTGCATCCAAAGCTGGCGCTTACATTTTGTTCTGTTCCCTAGATATATTTGTGCGTTCCCGAGATAATCCAGTTCCATTGTAGTTCTGTTAATAACAACTTCTTTTTTTTTATTATTTTTCTTTTTTATTATCTCTACGAATTTATGACTTTATTTAATTGCCAAATTGCGTAGTTTTTTCTGGACAGATGTCAACCCCAAAACATCTTGTGGGAGTGCCAACCCCATAAAAAAAATTAACTTCGATTATGTGATGTGTAGACAGCTCATTTTGCCTAGTTCCAGAGCAGACTCTTTTTTTTTTTTGACTTCTGTATTATAATTTCAAGTATATTTTTGTTTTATGTGGAAATACTTTATTTTGGTGTAAGGGGGTTGTTTTATATGGAATGCATAATTTGCAGAAATAAGAAAACTGCAACGAACATCTGTATCTATAGCAATATTTAGGATATTCCTACTGCTTTAGCTGTGTTTGGGTTTTATTGAATCAGATCGCCAGAAATTGCACTGCTGTGTTTACACATGGCTGTTTACTCTCAAGAAGTGTTTGAAGTAATGACTTGAGAATAGTTAATCTTGTTGTAAACCATACATCAAACATTTGTGTATGATGCATTGGTGGAAAATGATGCTTACTTGCAGCTTTGAAATCTGGACCGTATTATAGTTTATGTGTTTTATCCTCAGTTTCGAGAGGGCAGGTTTAAAATAAACTGTTCAATATGTTAGCAAATAAACAGAGTTCTCTAAAATGTTTAGACTAGTGTGGCTCTGCTATTTCTGGGAAGCTTATTTTGGCCTGTCATCGGAGGATGTAAAAATGTTTGCAATTAATTTTTTTAAAACAAATTTGACCCATCTTTCCCTCCATTATGTTAGGATACAACATCTGTGATACCTACTACTGTATTGTTAGTCCTCAGACTTTGGAAAGATTTGCTTTTAAACTACCTTTTATTAGAAATATTTACCGAAGTTCAGCTTTACTATTTTGTAAATACCATCCTAGTTTTAAGTGCTAGAAAGTTATACTGGGACTTTTCTGTCATCTTAACTACTGGCAGAACACAAGGTGCAGCCCCGTGGAGAAAGCCCTTGGAGTCCCAGTGGGCAGTGAGTTGTCCGTGGGACAGCAATGTGCCCTTGTGGCCAAGAGGGCCAATGGGATCCTGGGGGGCATTGAGAAAAGTGTGTCCAGCAGGTCTAGGGAGGTTCTCCTGCCCCTCTGCTCTGCCCTGGTGAGACCACATCTGGAATACTGGGTCCAGTTTTGGGCTCCCCAATTCAAGAGAGACAGGGACCTACTGGAGAGAGTCCAAGGGAGAGCTATGAGGGTGATCAAGGGACTGAACATCTCTCCTGTGAAGAGAGACTGAGAGACCTGGGGCTGTTCAGCCTTGAAAGCAGTCGGCTGAGAGGGGACCTTATTAACGTACAAAAATATCTGAGGGGTGGGAGTCAAGAGGAAGGGGACAATCTCTTCTCAGTGGAGGTGAGGTGATAGAACAAGAAATAATGGGTTTAAGTTAGAACATAGGAAGGTCCACCTCAACATAAGGAGAAACTTCTTCACTGTGAGGGTGCTGGAGCCCTGGCCCAGGCTGCCCAGAGAGGGTGTGGAGTCTCCTGCTCTGGAGACTTTCCAACCCGCCTGGACACGTTCCTGTGTGCCTCCCCTGGGGGATCCTGCTCTGGCAGGGGGGTTGGACTGGATGGTCTCTGGAGGTCCTTTCCAACCCTGAGCATTCTGTGATTCTGTGCTGAAGTGGCAAAACCCTACGTGTTTTTTAACATCTGTGGCCGGATTTCTCGGAGGGAGGGAATTCCCAGCCTGGCAGGGTGCAAAGTTCCCTGTTTCCAACCTTCCCAGCAACTGGAGCGGAGCGAAACGTCCCCTTTCTGGCACGGTTTTGTGTCAGTTGTGAGGCTTGGTGTACGTGAGGAGAGAAGTGCCTGGAGGAGGAGAAGGAAAAGTAAAGACTCTGCAGTTCATCTGTACTGCCCAAATGCCTAGGCCGAAAGGAAATGCATGGATATTTACATAATCGGGCCATACAGAAGTGTATTACACTTTTTACAGTCATTTCTAGTGAGTAAAATCCCTGAATTTGGCAGATATGTGCAGTGCACCTGTTGAATTTTTATTTTTATTTTTATTTATTTTTATTTTTTATTTTTATTTA